GTGCAGCCGTTGGTGGTGGAGTTGTATCTGGTGCAGCCGTTGGTGGTGGAGTTGTATCTGGTGCAGCCGTTGGCGGTAGAGTTGTATCTGGTGCAGCCGATGGTGGTGGAGTGGTATCTGGTGCAGCCGTTGGTGGTGGAGCTGTATCTGGTGCAGCCGTTGGCGGTAGAGTTGTACCTGGTGCAGCCGTTGGCGGTAGAGTTGTATCTGGTGCAGCCGTTGGTGGTGGAGTTGTATCTGGTGCAGCATTCGAGGATGATGCTGTATTTGCTGTAGGTGCTGATGGTGTTGTTGCTCCTAGTAGAGTAGTTACAAAATCTGTAGTTACTAACAAAAGAACTTATAAATACTAGAGATAGATTATGTTGCTTAAACACTGAGTTCTCAATTCTTTTCTTAAAGAAGTACAGACAGCACTTCATAAAAAAACAGTCAGAAAGCATCTCATAGATGCGGTACTGACAAAATTATCGTTGAATGATAAATCGTTGCGTTAACATCTTCTGATGTGGCGAAAGAGCTCCACTCTATGGTGCTGGCAAGTTGACATGTTGCTTCAAGTTGGCAAGGCGTTGGACGGTTGCAAAAGTTATTTCCGAGTTCTTATTTAACGAGGTATGCGGGTTTAGTTTTCACAATCGACAAAAAGCCTTAGATAGAATGCCAGTGCAAAAAGGCAAAGGAAAGCGATAAATGAAGCCCACAGTGGTTGCTAAAGCCGTAACCGTCTTCGTAAAGCAACATTTTAATACTGGGAGACTCACTTAATTCCCTGATTTGCCAACAGCACGAACCAACAAAGGAATCAAGAAAATAACGAAGGGTTTATTCAATATGTGTTTCCTTGACATCAATCACTTCTGGAGAAGAGTTCTCCTTTCTGGAGACAAAGGGTGTGTTCCTTTGGGATGATCTGGATCAGGATCAGTGATCCAAGATCACTCGGATCATGGTGCATCAAAGGAACCGATGAATCCGTGACCAGGGGAGATTCACTAGTTCCGTTGATGCACCATGATCTGAGTTATCACGGATCACTGATCCACATCATCCAGATCACCACGAAGGAATTCATCCACCCTATTTTGGTATTTCTTAACGTAAGTTGACTGCAATATTAGTTGGCCGTCGAAATACTTCCAGCTACAACAATTTAAATTCCTGAAATTGGTGTCATATTACATTATTAAAAGGAAATCATTACATTTCTTTAACGTAGTTCATGGTATGAAAAAAATGTACTGCCTAACTTTGTAGTTCCCTTCCGTCGACCTATTGTATTAAGATCTTTTTCATTCAGTGTTTTTTTTTTCTCAATAGCACGACTCAATAACTGTCTGTGTTTAACACCTCCAAGAAGAGTCAATGAATGAGGCGAACATCATACTACTGTTGATCATTTGTCATCTTGATTATGCAGAATACAGTACCGTTTTCAAGTGGTTTGGTTTACATACTTTTTCAACCAGCATCAACCTCAAAACAATTTGTTTAGCTGAAGTTTTGAGGTAGAAGACCTCCAGCCATTTGGTTAAAGCGTCGGTTGACTGCGTCTCATGATCAACATTAGGCAAACCATCAAGCGAACCAACCATAGCTAAACATGCCTTTTCCGACTGCCCAAGACAGGGATTTTGCAGACACAAATTATAAGGACCTGAACAGGAAAATCTGTTCTATCGGTATTTTCAAAGAGTTGACTTCAGTTACAAAAGCCAATTTAGATCTTCGGATTTTAATTATAATCGGGAACTTTCGAATAAGATTTATTAAAGCTCAGGGTTTAGGATGTGTACATAGCTTAATAGCATAATTAGTCAATTTATCCACAGTGACAGAATTCTTTCGACGAGTTTTAGATGAACTCTATCTAACATGTATATACTTTGTACGAAGTTTTATTCAATCTTAATTTAATTATGTTTTAGCAAGACCCATGAGCTACTGAGCTTTAATTTTAATCGTGCTGAATAAAGGTAGTCTGTCTGGACAAGCACTGAAAACCATCTTCTTCGCCAATTGTGAACGCTTCACGTCGGAAGAACTAGGTGGAGATAGTCCGGGGGGGGTATTACCAGAAAAAAATGGTGGGGGTGTTCGGCCCGCTTTCCAGAGCCCTTATCCTGTTTATGACCAAAATCTGCAATTTTCCCTACCCTAGTTATGATCAGACCAAAACTTCGATACCCTATTTATGACCGTTGCGGCTGACACAGTTGCCCTAAACATAATTTTTGACGGGCTTTTGTTTATGGTCTTATCGATAATGATGAAAAAGTATCTTCCTTTAAAAAAACATACCCAATCCAAGACTAGAGTACAAAAAACAAACGCTATTGGTCAAATCGATACCCTATTTATGACTAAAACGGCTGAAAACCATACCCTTTGGGGCCGCACATAACTATATAGTCCATATAAGGGAGTACCCCCCGGGGAGATTAACAAACAGCGGTCAAGCATTTCAGCTAAGCGCAGTTGAACTCTACAATTCAACCAAGACTGGTTGTGGTTGAAACAACTGTCCTAGTACAACAAACGGCCTAATTAAGTTTAGCATTATCTCGTGTTTCGTGTTTTCTGCAAGTGATATGCATTCCGAAGTGATGACTACTTCTTCCGATATCGTCTAGTAGGCTTTCAGTCTTAAGAAAGCTGAGGTTATTTTAAAATGTGACATTTCCATGATATTTGTTGTCTGAAATAAACGTCTCATTATTTAAACTCAAGTGCCGGAAACAAGTAGTAACTATATTTGTCGAGACATTATTTCAGACCATTTATTTTGGTAGGATTACCTTTGCAATAGATTTAGAGCACTGCAACTTGAATCCGGAAAACGCTTAATATGTCTCGTTCACATCAAATTATTTACAACTAGAGTCCTTAATCTGTGGTCCTTATTCTCAAGTGTGATTCGCAGATCAACCTTTCCCTTACTATATTAGCAGACTGTGTTAACGAAACTTAAGATATGCGTGTAACATCTAAGTCCTACATGAGGCAAAAAATTCCATGGGTTGGGTCAGTAAAATGCCTTTATAGCAGTAACTCCAGTGTAAGCAATGTGACAGAATAAGACTGAAAATGGATACCTATAAGAAAACTGCTGTTCTTGATATTAACTAAAGTAATTAATATTACTCGGTACAATCAACTAAATACTCGCTATAGATTTTAATTTAGTGCCGTCAAAGCTTTGGATCGTCTGGAGAATTTAAGATAGACAATAACAACACGCCAAAACATTGCATTAAAGTGAAAAATATGGCTTGATGTTTTTAATAACGCGAGGGGTATAAATCTATAGCACTTTTCGGAGGGTTTTTTTTTTTTTTTTGCCTTTTTGCTGAAATTTGTTTTCATGTTAACCATAGCGACTTAGTAACAATTACAAAAGGAGCAGAACTGAAACTTAAAGCGTGTACAATTCTTAATAACTTACCCGTCGGAGCTGACGATGATAGAAGCGCCAGCGAAAGGAAAAGAGCCATTACCAGTACAACAGCATATAGAGTGGACTTCCTTAAGTCCCTCAAAATCACACAACATTCAGTCATTGCAGAACAGTTAAGGGAAGACTCTAGAGACCTAATGAACAGAGCAGACAGCGGTTGTAGTTAAAAGTTGGATTCCCTGGCCCCCAATAGTGAACTTCCCTTGATGTTTAAGGTTTGCGTGTAACATCAAAGCCAAGTGCTCAACTGTTTGTTTGTTTCCATGACAATTGGATTTGTTGTTCCAAATCTGTATCAGTTACGGCGACATAAGAATATTGTTGTTCGAAAACAATCTACACTCAGTATATATTAACATCTCTTTTGTGTTGTATCACGATAGATGAGAAATTTTATGGCATTTTCTTTTCAAAGAACATTAACTCGCACTCGTATAGTTTACTACCACGAGTAAAGCATTTTGTATAAAAATCCATCTGGACTCCAAAGGTTTACCACGAGTATAGGATCTCCAAAGAAATACTCTCTCCGTACCTCGTGATTTTTTCACGAATACGCTCTACTATTTATGCAAGGTCCTACTGTAGGTCTGTTTCTCAATGTTACGCCACACATTTAGTCTTTGTCTTTCCTACACTTAAATGGTACATTGGAATTAAGTTTCCACTGCGAGCTTATAACGTGACTTTTTCCACAGATATTCGCAGCTGAACAAGGTACGTGGTGCAAGCACCTTTTTAAAAAAGAATATTGATATTTGAGCGTAAGAGGTCATTTAGGATCAGGAAAAGAACACTTAGAAATTGAAAGTTAATATCACACATGCAAGAAACAAGAATTAAGTGGGATGTTTTTTACCAGAAATAACTTCGACCCAATACACTGTAACTATAGCTGTATGTGTTTATGGCTGTTTTAGACCCCCTGAAAAGAATTCATGATATCATGCAATAACGAATGCATTTATCTACAAAATAAATGTTAATAATTTCATAATCAGAGTGCAGACGGATGACGACGTCAACAAGAGGTGTGACACCGTCACGTGATATGTATCCGCAATCCGGCAGGTATATTTTGCAGGTTGTAGGCTGCAGGTTGAAATTGAATTATAACTGGAAAACCGCTGGCACTTAAAAGAAACGTACAGGTGGTGCACTTACCGTGACTGTTACATGACACTGTTTACAATCGCTCCATAAGGTGGCTTCCACCTAAGTGCTAAACCGGCCGAAGCGATGGGAGGAGAGTATATTCCTATTATTTTAAGCCTGCAATGAATGATCGTTTTTGAAGAAACATCTGAAATATCATCTGAAATATCTGCTGATATTTGGTTTCTTCCCTGTTAGTACCAAAACGAAAGCACACTGAGCTTGTGCTAGTATATTCCGTCGGCTAAAATCTTAAGACTTACATTATTTCATTTCTTTATTTATATGCTTCATTTGTGATGGCAATCTTCTGTTGTTGAGGGAAGACCCGAGCCAAATATGGAATCGATGGAAACATCTGAGGAGCGGCCATCCAGATGGCTTTGAAGAGATTTCACTGGTCTCCGCGTGTCGATCGATAAGTGCTTACAGCGGATCGATCGTGTTTTCACTATGTGAAAGACGCGAACTACTTTATGTAAGAACCGCCGACGAGTATATAGCTTATTAATTATTTTTAGTGCCAGCGGTTTTCCAGTTATAATTGAATTTCAACCTGCGACCTGCAAAATATACCTGCCGTCCACGATCCCGGATGCAATCGTTGCTACTCTAAACATTGCAACATTTTCCTTTTAAACTGGAAATCGTTTGAAGACAGTTGAAGTGAATTTTAACGCGGCCGAACAAAGCTTCAATTTGAACATCCAGTATGTTTGCCATAGTTTGACGTAAAGGCGTGGCATATTTCATGAACACTGGACTATTTGCATTTGAAATAATATCTCCCACTTGACGGTCACTGTTTGCTCCAACAGTCACTATATACGACCCTATGCTGTTGCCAAGCTCAAGTTTGTTTCCGAGTGCTCACGAAGCCACAATTGAAGGGATTGAAGTCACTTAAGAAATAAAAACACTCATAAAAGAGACTATTTGGTCAACTTTATTTCGTTTCTGTAACATTGAAGGTTAAGCATCAATCATAGAATTTGTTTTTTTGTTTAACTGGGCACTTACGTACTGGAATTTTAGCTGATGCAATTTAGGTACCGTTTCGGAGGATTACACCGCCCTGTTTAAGGATCGAGAACCTGAAAAGCCATCCCCTTTCCCGCGGCACAAACCTATATAGCCCACAGATGGGGTACCCTCCCACTCCCCGTCAGTTGCATTTACAATGAAGAATTAATATCCAAAAATAATGACACTCCCCGCCTCCCCTTCGAACGCGGCGATAAAAATTCAGCATGCAATTTTCTCTATTTTCGTTGCAGTCAACGGCAACCTAACCAAATGTTTCGTTAAATACAGTTATCAGTACAAACGATTTTGTAGTTAGGTTTCCACGAACTGCAAACAGAAAATAACCAAACATGGAAACTTTCATGTGTGCAGTGACATCACATGATGGCTGATACTTTTTTTGGAAGTAACCGGAAGAAAAGATGTTCAAAATGGTGGCCGTTCAATTTCGGAAGATGACCACGGGTTTTGGTGTTTTCGTCGATCTTGGTGGGAAAATTTTTCTTTTTCTTGCCGTTTTTAACAAATCTTATTAACTTCCTTCCATAATTTTCAGTGGTAATATAGATATTAATATGATTCATTATATGGCGGGTTCCGTACACAAAATCCTGCGCTGTCATTGGCTACCCGTGCGGCGAACATGGTGCTATCTGTCCGTTCGGGACTACCCGCTGTATCATGCAAAAAAATTTCTCCCGAAAGCCGTATAATAAATCCTTTATTGACCAAGCTTGTTAACGCAAGGTGGCTGGATATTGGCCTCGTTCCTCTTTTTGCGTGTTTATGGACCTTGACTCCGCCTCGATCCAAAAACACGCAAAAAAAAGATGGCCAATATCTCATGCTTGGTCAATAACCCATATTTTTAAGCCTTCTGTTGTCCTTTTAGGAGAGAAGTACCACAAAACACCACACTATATACTGCTGAAACAATTTTCTTTATTTGAGTAAAACTACTTGAGTAAACACAGCAAGGAATGTTTATGTGAGATTGACACTAAATATTACTGTTATACAGTTAATGCTACTATTTTCCCTTGTGCTACGTACAGCTGTAGTTATGTATTTGACCTGAGAACCGACAATATCATTTTATAACAACAAAGTAATAATATTAACAAGGTAACTAAGCTTGAAGCTTTCTCTTCCAGAGATGAGCCAACTTGTTTACCCTTTAAACAAACATACCTCGGCATGTCTTGCCTAACAAAAAACACAAAAACTTTCACCTCAGGTGATAGAATGAAGGAATTCAATTGTCACTTGTACATGGTAAAATCAAGTAAAATTTTAGAGGTATACTGAGAGGGCTTAATTCATGGCTGCTGGACTGAACCTCATGTTTTAAAACTGTGACAGTGTCACCATTAAGACCAACAACCTAGAGTCTGAGTGCTCTAAGCACATAAATACATACATGGAGAGGATACTTCATATAAAATGCACCCAAAAAAATTTCTGAGGCACTCCTTCATCTCATATTTTAACATTTTTGGTGGGTTTGTAACCCTAAGTGAATTCCACAGAAATCTTTGCAAGGCAAGTACTGTGTATCACATTATAACATTACTACATAACACACTGGAATGTTTGCATACTAGGAGGCTAGGGAGAAGGTGACTTTTCAGACGTCCGTCAGTGTACACAGATATACACTTCAGGGGAAGCCAAGTCTTACCTTATTATTCCACAAATCAACAAAGTCATTTTGCAATATAGAGCCAAGAAAATGCACAAATCAGGAGACTGCTACTGTAACCTTCCGAAAGAAATGACCCCACAAAAGTAATATCACAAATTTGTGGCCGTTAACAAATCCCGAAAGTAGCCAGCACTCTAAAATTATATTTATTTCTCTAATCAATAGTCACACATGGTAACTTGATGTACAGTACTCTACAACATTTTAAGGTATCACTCCTGCCACGAAGCATCATGAAAATTCGTGCCATTCATCAGTTAATGTTGTGCAGTGTTAAAACAAAACCTGGAGAATTTTCATCAAGTAACAGGAACGTAAAATATAGGAAACTTTGATTCAAATTTATATCTTTTTCAACAGGAGCATACCAAAAAGGAAGGTTTCTTCAAATTTATATTCAAAACTTGACCATCACACTGAAATATTGTTACAGCAGACTAACCTAGCAGTGTGTTATGAGGTACAGAGTAGAAACAGTTTATGGTATCTAACAAACTTTCCTCTCAACCATTGACAGCACAGTCTAGACATAAAGAGCTCACCCACGTTGCTGCAATATAGACTTAATCTGGAAGAAGAGCCTAGTCATACAAACTTTATATGGCAATTTTTATTCGCCAAAAGTAACAACCCCTCAAAAGTAACAACCCTTCGAAAGTAAGGAGCCCCAAAGGCTGCTAATTCCGAAAGTAACCAGGGTCATTACTTTCAGAAGTTTACGGTATAACAGCACAAATTCAAACTGAAGGGTGAGTGTGTATGGGACAAGAGTTACACTGATCAAAGAAGAGTGACCAAATTTTGGACAAAAAAGCCTGAAAGGACAACACCAAAATAATAAATCCTGCATTTGACGGTTTGATAGATAATATGTAGGCACTGACTTGCCACGTGACTTAACTCACAATGTAATTAATTAATTTGATCCATCAATTAAGGGATGTTATATACCTAAGACACTTAACTCTCACAGTGCCTCTCTCCACCCAGGTGTATAAAGGGGTACCAGCGAACTTAACACTGAGGGTAACCCTGCGATGGATGAGCATTCCATCCAGGGGGGAGTAGAAATATTCTTAGTCACTTCATGCTTCAGAAACTGGGCTGGCTGGCTGATGGACCACTTGGCTCATAAGCAGACTTTACCTGTACCTAGGACAGATGACAACCCCCTAACTAAAAGCTCACAATAACAATACTTCCATGCAGGTCCAAATGTTTCCAAGTTTTTGACTGATAGTGAATGTCTGAAAAAGAAATATGTCCAAGGAAAAAATGTTTTGAGTTTGAGATAACAGGGAAGTTTGAAACAGTAAGGTTAAACTGTATCACTATGTATTTCTTTGTTTCTTGTTTGGAATGTCTTTGGTCCTTTTTTTGGCCATACCTTCAAGCTGTAGGCTGGAGGTCTTGGTAAGGCACAGAGGATCCACTCCTCTTCTTGACGCAGCAGAGGCCCTTGGATCGCAAAAACAGTGTACCAAGCAGGCCAATGCTGATACCAATGAGGAGCATTGGCCACAGGATGCAGTTCAGTATCGCAACCTTATCACTCTTCACACTAGATCTCTCTGTATATGCCTCATCGGGAGTTTTGGGATTGTAATAGCATCTGTATTCATCATCGACTTGGCCATATTCGCTCTGAAAGCTGTCCACATCTTCTTTATTGGACCACTTGGCTGTATCACATGGCTGAGTACTGCACTGTAAGATAAAAAGAAAATCCAAGAGTTGTAAAGAGATTTTAACGTTACCCCCATAGCAAAAGCAGGTGGAAATGCTGATTAACTATCAGATTATGAGCTCTGGATTTTTATGAAGTGAAAGTGTACAAGGCTAAAGGTAGAATTTGGAAGTTTCAGTGGAGCATTCAGAAACAAATGGAAGTTAAATTCCTGAGAAGAGTAAAAGGACATTCAAGGTTTGTTTAACAATGAAATCCTGGGTGCCCACTACTAAAGCTTACATGAAAAAAGTAACTTTTTCCAGTTGCCCAAATGCAAAAGTTAGTTGCCTCTGCAGCACCCGGATACTTCTACAGCACAGCCTTGTGACATTAAAAATCTTAAAATAATTCGTTGGAAAAACTGATTTGCTTGTACACAACTTAAAATTTTATATCACGATTTAAAGCTTAAATTTTAATACAGTGGAGAGAAAATTATTGGAAATCATCATTTAATTAAAGGAAATTCCAAAGGATTATACTAAAACAATTAGATTATTTGCTCTCGATTTCTAGGGGGGGATACTTTATTCAACCTCCAACCAGCCAAATCAACTATCACTTTGTAGATCTTACGCTCATACAATTTGCTATTTAGAGTGTCTCATGAAACTTGTTAACTACACAGTCTTGTTTTCTGAGCAGTGGTCAGCCACAGCTCACTGTCTAATCTAAATCACTGATAGACTAATTGCTCCCAACAAGACACTCCAAGAAACAGAAACAATAACTTTTACTCTAACAGTCAAATTTCTCACACACTCATTGGCTAATTTTTCGCATCAATAAGAGCACTACTAAATGTTGTGTAGAGATCTACATCTGAGTGATTTCAATCTGATGTACTTTATTATTATTAAAATTCTATACCTGCCAAATTTTATAGTTATAGTCATGAGATTTTTATCCTGGGAGCGCCAGGTTTTTCAAAGACCACACGAACATATCCAAAGATTCCCAAAGACATCCAAAAACTTCCGAAGACATCCAAAGTCTTCCGATTGCCATTGTTGAAAAGTTCACCTGGAATAAACTTTGATTCATTTTCTAAAAGTTTATAACAATCGGCAACTGAACTCCCGCAAGTAAACTCACATATGCGAAAACTCTTAATATAACTGACAACTCTGAAGTTAGGACACAGTTTCCTGCCTTATGAGTGACTTTAAAGAGTTTATTTTGACCAAATTTGTATCCAGTAGTGGAAGCAGAAACAGCCCTGCCATTTCCCAGTCCCAGTCTCAGGACGTGTATCGCTGCTAGATGCAACCCCGCTCCCAGTGCTTTCTATTTCAAGAAGGAATTAGTACCATTATCTACACATAGTTTTCATTTCTTACATTGGTTTTCGTTTACATATTTTGGAAATTGTGTCAAGCAAAGCTGCAACCACTTACAGTTTTCAATCAGGCGAGAGAATTTGGCCCATAAGGGTAACCCAGCGTGAGATAGAGGTTTTCAATCCCAAGGCGTGAGATTCACACCTAATGCACAAGAGTTGGCAGATATAATAACCACATTAAAATTCACAATCTATAGCAACCTTAGCTACATGTAAATTTGCATTAAAACAATTACATTTAACAAATTGCAATGAGGGTGCCAACAGGGAAGAACGTACAAACTAGAAATGAGGAGTTACAAAATAATATACATTACATATTACACGATAACACTACACATAGAATTCAAGATTAAATAATTTTACATAAACAAAATACCTATTAGCAGTTACTTATTGATTAAGGCAACCATCCATAGGAGATATCTATAAACGAGCACTTCGATGTTTGTACATGTACAAAAAATTCGTGGACTTTTAAAATTACTAACATGGTCTGCCTCGACAACATTGCGCAGTAAGTAATGCATCAGTCAATTCCAGCAGTGCCCATCCCCCCCCCCCCCCCCCCCCCCCCCCCCCCCCCCCCCCTCA